GAAGTTTTAAAATGCTTCACCATAATACAGTAATGCCACACACAAGCACAAACACAGCTCACTATTTATCATCACACAGATTTGTCCGATAGGAAACATATTGGGTGTAACGTGGGAATATTTTGGTGACTTTTTAAATTAAATTCGTGTCGCTGATTCGGTTTTAAATTCGTGTTAATGAGACAATTATTAATCGCGATATAATACATGTATTTGAAACGTTTTAATTCAGTTTGCAGGCTCTCCATGCGATGGAAATCACGTGTAAAATAACGATTATTCTCTATTTGTCGTTGTTAGTATTTTGTGATTTAATAACATTCTTCATTAATGATTAACACTGTGGATTGGACTGCAACGTGTCCACGTGAAAAGAAAGTGCTTCCCCCTGAGTGACAGCGACGCGCTGCGGCCTACGTTCTCACGCTGCAATGTGAAAATCGCAGCACACGTCATGACGTTTCTGAAGGAGAATTTCAAGGTAAGAGAAGACAGATAAGCTTTTATTGTTCTCCAGAGGGGGAATTCAAGTGTTTCCTTGGCATTTCATCATCTGGTGTTGTTGCATTGCATTTTCCTTTTGTTGTTCAGATGCACTGTAATCATATGAGTAAGTGTATTAAAGGAATCAAGTATTAGGTGTTTTACCTTTTTTCATATTGGTAATATTCTTCATTCTGTCCCTTTAAAAAACGAAGTAAATATGTGGGAATTGAAACAAACCTTTTTTTCTGACAATACATATGTGTACGTTTTTATTTCAGTATCTTCCTTTTAAGTACGAAATTCAGCATTCTGAGGAGTTTGTGGACATTTTAGATAGGCTACTGCATGTTGGATAAGAAAAGCCTTTAATGAGTGGAAATAATGGTGTTGCAACAAGCATAAGTCAGAAATAAGTACTGACAAATAGAGAGAACTAAAATATATAAAAAATATGAATACATCATATATAAATATATACAAATGCACTATATATGAGCATTTAAACTACAACAATATTGTCTTGTTTTTTTATAATAAAGGCAGCTGTCTTTTATCACATTATTACACACAATAGAAAGGATAATGCTTCATGTTATGGTGTTGAGTGTTGACAAACTGTACACACACACATGCAAGACATTTAGGATTCACATTCACCAACAACCATACAAATTACAAAATAATCCAAATCTGAGATTGAATCTTTAAGTGCACTTTGTCACCCCCTGTTGAGCCATCTGATGACTACATATTAGCTCTGAATCGATGTATTTTCAGGGAAAATACATCGATTTCCCTGAGAAATGTTCTCAGGGAACATAAAGTCCTTATGTCTGAGTTTCAGAGCAACAACATCAGCACGCCTTTAAGAGCTGCGCTGCCTTTGAGTGTTACATGTAAAGCAGGTATTTCGCGTCTGGACAACACATGTTGAGGTGTAAACAACAGTAAACATAAAAGATAAGTTAAATTATACAACAAGTAAATATATTATCTAAGTGGTTAGATGAAAAAGGATAAGAAGGAAGAAGGACTGCCCGTAAAATGTCGTTTAAGTATGTTCCTTTAACGCCTATTCTCACTTTTACTATATATTTGAGGGAGCCTGAAGGTATCATTGTGAAGTTAACTTCCCATGATGCATCTGTGCTACACTGGAAAGTGACGAGAGAGCGTCTTCACCCTCTCTCGAGAAAACAAAGATTACTTAACGCTAATTTTTGGATTTTTGGGGATTTTTGGATGATTTGGAAGCGATGGAGAGCGACTGTACGGATTGACTTTGCCTTTAACTTACATTTACTGAGTTTATAACAATTTACGGAGGATTTTCGCGGTTGTCTTTGGACCTTTAATGGCAAGTTAGCCAACCGGTTTTCGGTAAGGAAGCTAAGGTTCATTTTTAATCCCACATTCATCCTAAAACTGTCATGATTACAGTGTTAACAAAGCTGCTGGTGCGCGTGCTGCACGTGCTGTGTTTGTTCTGTAATACTTCCATGTCTCGAATCTTCCAGCTCGAGTTTTAAAGAACCACACGCCCAAAAAACAGAAGCTAACAGCAGCAATTATGGTACAGGTAAATATAACAGAGTAAAAATATTAGATATAAAAATGCACAATATATACAATGAAATGGAATAATATTAAATTAACTAACTCAACAATAGTGCAAAGGTTTAGTTAATGTAAGTGTAAGTTAATGTAAGTTAACTGAGGAGATGTGAGCTAGTTTTAACCTTAATGTGACACCAAACCGAAAGTAAGTTATCTTTAATAATTATATATATTTATATATAATATAATTATAAATTAATTATAATTCATATTATATATATATATATTTATTATTATTATATAGAATTAAGTTATATTATTAAATTCTGTAAGGCTAATCACTTGTCTGTCTGCTGTATCCTATTTCTTTCTCAGCTCTGTCCCTAGAGGTTTTTGATTAAATATATTCTTGTTCTATGACATCATATCATATTTAATCTTCTATTCTATTATCTTGTATTGCTGTAGTATACTGTATACTATGGTGTACTATATTACACTACTAATGTTACACCGTATGCTGTGTCTCATTTATTTTTTGTCCTTTTTACTTCTGCAGCTACCAAATTGCCCCACTAAATATTGACCTTTTATGCATTTAGAGTCATCTGCTCGTGATCATGTTGGGGAACCTGAGTGGCATTGGGTCTCTGGATCCTTGTATTTGCCCTCACCATGCGTTTCATTTCATTTAAGGAAGTTGGTCCCTGATGCATTTTGTAGCTACTTCCCTGCAGACAACCTCCTTTAATCAGCGCCTCACATGACTTCATGGTTACTCTCTGAAACCGTGAAATAGCAGATATGTCACGGTAGAAAACAGCAGGCTCGTGATGGAAAAATGTCATGATAGCTCAGTGGCACTAGGTGAGGAAGAAAGAACAAAAATAAAACCAGCTTCCTGATCATCACATGCCTTGCTCGTCTGCAGGGGCACGCAAGCTAGTCATCAGTCATGTCGACAGGGAAGCTAGGGGTCAATAAAGCGTTTATTAGAGATGTTTAAGTGTTGAAAGGAGTCATATTTGTGTGTGTTTCAGCGTGCCATGTGGGGGTAACCCTGCCCAGGAGGTGCCATGCTAGCCACACAGATGCCAGATATGCAGCCCGAGGCTGAAGATGTCAAAAAGGTAAAACCACAAGTTTCCCCCCCTTGTGTGCAAAGATCCTGTGACCTCGTAGACTTCTCTCCTGCCCGCTTGTTCTATCTTTACTGTGATACCAGGTTGTGACATTGAAGTAGGCTAAATGTTGTAATTGTACTGTTGTAAGTGTTGTTCAACGTTGTGCCACTTTTTAACCCTACACTTGTGGATCCATTCAGTTGCCTGCGTATCTTATTTAACAGACAATCTAATGGTTGGTTAATAGTTAATATGATTTATTACAGCTGAGCTTTGCAGACGGTGCACAATGTACTGCTGAATTAATGTATGCGAGTCAAGAAGCTATGAAAAGAGGCAAGGAAGTGGTCCCCATAAGTCCTCCTCGGTCAAGCACAGTAGAAGAAGAGTGCTTCAGACCGTCGCTGCTTTGTCGCAAGTGTTGCTGAAGAATTCGTTTGATTTTGCAACCTATTGCGTAATGTAGGCTTACTTTCTATATGTTTATGTTCTCTGTCTGTCCATGTCAGCTGACAGTAGGTGTCATGTGACTGTAGTTAATCTGAAGATTAGGTATCATAACAACACGGCCACGCATACTTCACCCTGCGTCTCCGTCTTCAGAGAATGTGCTGGCTGCGTTCTGTGCTGTGCCTCTAATGTTTGTTAGTTATTTGGCAACCTGCTTCCCATCTGAACCGCACCTTTAGTAGCTCTCACCAAGAGGAACAAGGAAGCTGATGATATTTTCCTCTCACACGCATCGGTCACATGTAGATCAAGGAGAAGTTGGCACAGTCGCTCAAGGCCCTGCAGAAGAGATACGTGACGTCAGACGCAGTGGTGACCAGTGACGACGGGGACGCTAACCTCTTCTGCTGTGCCCTGGAGGCCGTCTTCATCCACGGCATCAAGAGCAAGTACGTCCGCTCGGAGGCTGGGGGCCGGAGCAGGAAGGGAGAGCGAGGCTCCCTCCCTCAGCCTTTCTTCTGGAGCCTCCTCAAGACCGTCACCCACCGGTAAAAAGCACATTATTCTAAAAGGACGTCGTTAGAGCTGAAATGATTGGTTGGATTAGATTAACAGAACATTAATCTGCAACTGTTTTCATGGTCGGGTAATCGGTCTATTTATTTTTCAAGCATAAAGGCTAAACATTCAGGGATTCCTGCTTCTCCAATGTGATGATAACACTCTTTGTTAACTCCCCAGTGATGTGGTCAAGGAGCTGGAGAAGATCAGCTTCGTGGGCACCGACGTGGGTCGCTGCCGAGCCTGGCTGCGACTGGCCCTGAACCACGGCCTGCTCGAGTGCTACCTCGCGTCGCTGTTCCGCGAGGGCTCCAAGCTGCGGGCCCACTACCAGCCCAGTGCCTTGCTCCTGGACACCGAGGAGCGGGAAGTCCTGCTCAGCTACCTCCAGGGTCTGGCCTCGCTCACCTTCGACCTCTCCTACAAGTCGGCCGTCCTCAACGAATGGACCACCACGCCTCTGGCTCTCGCCGGGCTCTGCCCCTTGTCCCAAGCGGACACTATTGACCTGTCCCTCAACGCTGGAGACCTTCCCAACTCCAAGCCCGCGTTTAAAGAGTCGTGGGATACGGTGTCTCAGTCGTCGGGCTCTTCAGACGCACAGGATCTGCAGAGAGGCTGCCCAGTGATGCTGACGGGGAAAGGGACAGGTGTATTACACGGGGGTTGTACTGCACTCAACTCATCCAACTTAAGCCTGGACACCACAGGCTCCTCCCAGCTCTCCTCCAGCTTGAGCTCTGATAGCCTCCTGCAGGGGCAGCACCCCCGCAGCCCGACGGGAGAGCAGTGGTCTTCATGTGACCTGGACACGCCCATTAATGTCACCATCAGCACCAAGAGGCCACAGAAGGAGTGAGTGGGTCTTCTTAGCTAAGTTCTAAGTAGAATACTGTCAGCTTTATCATTTAACTTTAGAAATATAAAGTAGTAAACTCCTCTTTTCTTATAAGCTTAAATATATCATGACTTGTTGTTCTCTCAGCAGTTCTCTGACAGAGTTCCGGGAGAGTGGCCACTACAGTCAGGACTCCATGCGCGAAGACTCCTTTGTGTCCAGCACGGGTCCGGATCAGTACTCGGAGACGGCCATGTTCAGCGGCTCCGACAGCGAGACCCAGGGTCCCCCTACGCCGTCCCAAGACCCCGTGGACCACGTCCCAAACTCTGTGCTGTCTGATTCAGAGCCACCGGCGACACCCGATGAGAACCACGTTAACTACTCTCCCTCTGAAGCGTGCATCGATGCCTCTCCTGAGGCACACTTGGACAAGGACATGCTTTCTACTGAGCCTGTGGAGCCTGTAGACGAAGTACAGATCACCGGAGTCCAGGAGAGTCCTGAGCCTCTCCAGGTAGAGAAAGAAGCAGAGCCCTCAGTGGATCAAAGCTCACGTCGCTCCACCATCAGGTTATTGTCCTCAGATTCTCTATCGGTAAGACCCTCTTCTGTTTCAAAACATGTGTTTCACTGTGTTGTGGTTCCTCTGTACAACTTCAAAAAAACCTACAGAGTAATAGAACGTTTTCTTTACATTTCGTTTGATCCGGTCTGTTGTGTCTCGCTCAGAGAAGTCTTGTTCTCAAATGTCCCGCTACATCCGCATTGCGACGTCGAAATCAGATAAATATTCATGACATTGAAAGTATTTTAGATAACACTTCTTCTGTTCTCCAACACACCATCGAAGGTGAGCAGTGGCGATTACATCACAACCTGTTGAGCCGCTGCTGTCTGCAGCGTTCTTTCCCAATACTTGTTATTAGTCACTTTGACACAAAGACATAGAAAATCAGAGGTTGAGAAACAGTTCCCCTTTAAGGATTGTACAGACGGGGGACATGCAGGATTGCCTTGATGTCCAAGCAGGAACAGCTCACGGGTATGTCACCAGATGTAGGTCTCTCTGTGGTTGCCACACATTGGTTTGGCAAGATGGTGACAAACCAGACAGACTGATCTTTACATCGATTCTGAACAGAGAAAGACACAACTCATCAAGGTTGTTTTTTTTTTTATAGTTCTCACACTACTAACCCCAAAGACACATGATAACAGGAACTGCTCTGTTGAAGGCAGCTCAGTTGTGCTCATTGATTAGTAAATCATCATCTGAAACTCATGTTTGTTAGAAAGCATTGACAGAAGTGCTGCAACAAAACGATATTCTAATTGTCAGTTAATCAAGATTTAATCTAAGATAATTGATGTTGGAAACCAGTTTAAAATGTCTCGTTTTCTTCGACTTGCAGCCCCAAACTCAAAGACAAACGTGTCTTTTCTGTTGCAGCATTCTCGTTCCTGGATCTCTGAGGACGACATCTACAAGCCTCACCTGGAGGAGGTGCCGGACCACAATGAGGCGCCTCCTCCTGCTCCCTCTGCTGAGCTCAAGGTCTCTCAGTCGCCTCCTAGTGTCGTCCATCGCAGGCAAATAGGTACTTCTGCCTCCGTCTACCAGCTGTCACAGATTGATCTGTGTCATTCAAAGCTGAAACATTCAGTCAACCTCAGAAAATATATCTGCAACTATTTTTAAGATTGTTTGTCTTTCTTCTGGTTCAAGCGTCTCAAATGAGATGGTTGGTTTCTTGCTTTTCTTTTTCATCCGTCTCTGTAAAATGAATATATTTGAGATTTGAGATTGAGAATCTTCTTTTTTGGTGAAACAAGACATTTGACTTCACAATAAATTGGAAAAATAACAATCAGATGAATCGATAATAAAATAAAAGTGTTAGTTGCATCCTCAGTCTCAGCCATGAGTGCCATTAACTGTTTTTACATAGAAACATTACAGTTATCACTCAAATCAATGTTTACATTCGGTGCATTCTTGAGGCTGAACACATTTCCTTCCTCCTAAAACATTTCCAACACAGATTTCTCTTCAGTGAGTTTACTTGGTGTGTTGCTGCCCCCTGTAGATCAGTGGAGCAGTACAGTTGTCATGAACTTAAACGTGTTTATTTCTGCGGTGCATTTGGGCATTTTAACACGGGGGTCTCTGGGGATTGTAGCCGGCCTCAAGTGGCCGTTTGACTTCACTTTTCAGCCACGCGGTCGGTAATAACATCATCGTGTTTACATAGTGCAGGAAATTTCCACAGTGGAATGAAAACACTGCAAACCACACCCCAAACAGTGACAATGCAGACAATCCTGTTCAGTTAGTGCAGGAAATGCCCGCAGCACAGGAAACTGTGGAATGAAAATGGTGCACACCACACCCCCGAGCTGTGACAACGCAGCAGGTTCTATCAGCTGTCTGAGGAAAAAAGAAAACCACCAGTTGTTTTTGTTACATCATTAGTGGGACGTGGCCAGGTGACACTGGAATGTAATAAACCTGTATGTCTGGCCAGACGTCACTCAGTGAGTGCTTGAACTATGGACCAGCTGCTGTATGATCTCACCAGTCAGGTCATCAGATTCATTATTCAACGTTCATATTCATCATGCTTTTCTTGTGACTTAATTATGATAAAATGTAATTGGTCTATCTGTGAACAGGTCTGCACAGATCCTGTTTTTATGGAGACTCTTTTCCTTTACTTTCCGTTAATATCTGTGTCCGTCTGTCTGTCAGGGCTGTCCAACCCTTTCCGTGGCTTGCTGAAGCTCGGTCACCTGGAGCGTCGAGGTGCGATGGGGATGTGGCGCGATTATTACTGCGAGCTGTCGCCCTTCGAGTTCCGGCTGTACGTCAACGCGGAAGAGCGCACATGTTGCGACAACTGCTCCCTGGTGCGATGCGAGGACGCCCGCGTCGCCTCGCCCGAGGGCCGCTTCGAGCTGGCCTTCCCCGGCAAGCGGCTCTACCTCCGGGCAGCGAATCGCGGCGAAGCGGAGGACTGGGTGGACCGGATAGTCGAGGCCGTCATCAAATGCCGTCCGACGCCTTGCACCGATGAGCATTGGGAGGTGCTACAACCTGCCTGTGAGAACGGCGTGGACGCAGCGTCCCTGTCCTCCGTCCCCTCCAGCCCCGAGCGAGGTCCCTCCTCCCCGGACACGGGGCCATGCGGAGGGCAGGAGGCGCCTCCTCCTCCTCTGCAGGGCTTCGACTGGACTCGGACTGTGGATTTGGAAAATGACGCAATCAAAGAAGCTGTTTTGTACTTCTCCACAGATCCAGAGGCTCGGACATGGGTGCCTCTGGTCTTCTCCCTCTCCTTGGAGGCCTTGAAAGGGTTTCAGGTTCAAGAGGGAAGGAAGCAGCTGCGGCAAACGCTCCCTATCGAGGAAATCCGGGATGTGGTGCCGGACGTGTCTCAGGGAGGGCCGGCCTTCTTCAAACTCCTGACCGTCCGGGAGACGCTGAGAGTCAGAGCTGAGAACCCAGAGGAGGCTCGCTCTTGGAGGGTTTTGATCCGAGGGGCTCTGGACTCGTACCTGGAGAGTGGGGAGGACGAAGGCTCCGGCGAGGCACCTGTAGTCCTCCCCGGGATGAGTGGAAATCTCCACAGACTGGTGCAGCACCGACTAAAAGAAGATGGAGCACTCCTCGTGCATCTGTGCACTGTTCCTTCAGAGAAGGGGCTGGACACGCAGAGCTTCAAGTGTGCAGGTAATGTTGAGTTGTTGAACACACATTAATTAACATTGTTGGGCCGCTTCTAAATATATAAACTGATCAGACAAGTCCAGTAGTAGTTGATGTCCCGATCCAGTGGCTGCCTATCATTATCTCTAACGCACACGCACACACACACACACACACACACACACACAACACAACAGTTCTGATCTCAGTGAGGTGTGGACAGCATGTGGGCACCATTTTGGACTATTTATCAACTCGGAGGTCTCTCATCATCTTCCCGTCACACAGGAGTTCCTCTACAGAGGAGAGTAAAGAGAAAAGAGGAAAACCCAACATTTCTGCTCCTGATTTTGCAACTTCAAAATAAAAGCTTTTAATACCGCAAGATTACGGGGGATTTTATTGTGAAATTTTCAAGGAAAATATGTTTATCACCAAATTTATCGGGGCTATTCTTCAATAAAATAAGCCTACTTATACTGCAGGGAGGAAGAGTAAACAGCGAACATAATGGGGAACTTTTATTGTGAAGAACAGGACATTTTTGTGAATGAGATGCTGAGGTTGTGTTGCTGCGTATCACACACACAGGGTGTCCTCAGCCGATCGGCCCGTCTCTGGGCAGAGCCCGGCTGTGTGAGTTCTCGGGTCAGTACTACTGTGACTCCTGTCATCACGGCGACACCACCATCATCCCCTCACGCATGGTGCACAACTGGGACCTCACACAGCGAGAGGTTTGTGCAGAATGTTTAACTACGTACAGATACAGTCAGACATACAATGTGTGACACGTTTCTCTGACCTGTGTGTGTGTGTGTGTGTGTGTGTGTGTCCAGGTGTCTAAGAAGGCCCTGCATCTGCTGGCTCAGGTGGAGCAGGAGCCTCTGCTGAACCTGGAGCACCTGAACCCTGAGCTGGTGACGCACGCCGATTCCATGTCTCAGGCCCACAACCTGCGGAAGAGGCTACGTCTGCTGGGCGACTACCTGCTCACCTGCCGCAGCGGAGCCTGCAAGAACCTCCAAGCCAAGTGTGTGTGTGTGCGTGCGTTTTACATTCTACCGTATTCTACCACGACGTTTTCTAACATATGTTTTAAAACTGTCTGTCAGAATGGAGCAGCGGACGTACCTGCTGGAGTCGAGCCAGCTGTACAGCGTCATGGACCTACGACAGGTATCCCGCTGTGTTCATCGTGTCACCGCACCTGTCGTCTGCCTCCGGGAAAATGTCTTAACATGTGTTGTTATTGTTTCTTCTAGATAGCAGAGGATGAGTATGTGAACTACCTGCTCACACTGCTGCAGTACGCCTCCAACCACGTCTTCCACTGTGACCTGTGCACTCAGCGGGGCTTCATCTGTCAGTTATGTCACGCTAATGACATCATCTTCCCCTTTCAGCTCGACATCACCACCAGGTACGTTTTTACTGGGTCACCTCACGCCTTTTTGTTCAAGAACAAAACAAACTGGATGCACTGAACAGTTTTCCATTTTTAGTTTTTGTTCTCGGTGTGCTATTAAACCTGTATTTGTTTAATAATTCCTTCTTTCTCTGTCCCAGGTGTAAAGTTTGTAAAGCGGTGTTCCACTCGGCCTGTAAGGCTGCTGGGGTCTCGTGTCCTCGCTGTCAGCGGATGAAGAAGTACCTGGAGAGGAATCCACAGTACTGAGCCGCGAGGCCCCGACTAACAAGGAAGCGGAAAAATAACCGAAAATCTAGCTTTTACACGAAGTAACCTCAAGTGCAATTATGAGTGTGTTGTGAGAGCGACGGTGCTGCGGTAGCTCGACTCTCTCGCACTAATTTAGAGGCACATCTGGCCTTGTGACGCTGACATAATGCAGCCAGATGTTACTGACCAGTGACGTTAATACCTCTCTGAATTCAGACTCGGCATCAAACGGAGGACGTGACACCGGTGAAGGTTGTTGCCAAGAATCATATCAACACATTTTTTACATGGTGTGTTTTTTACTTTGTTTGTCTTATTGTATCTACGTTCATCATGTTCATCAGAAATGCTCCACAGGACATTCTGCCTTTCTCTCGGATGCACATATTTAAACATAATGCAGGTTGGTTGGGTACTGAACATGCACAAATATCTAAAGCAGTGCTTGAAATATTCTAATATTTTGATTGTGCCTTCTTTTTAATTTAAGCTTTACGCTCTTCTCCACTTGGTGTGTGTTTAACACGGTTCAACCTTACACTTTTAATTTACCTTCACCACGAGAAGAAGTGACGTTACTGCAGTAGAAACTGATCTTGTGATAAAAATCTGAATCAAGTCATAGAGAAGACTTTGTGGAATGTTTCTTACAAGTTTACAAACGTACATTAATATGTGTGATTTAAAAGGACAAAGAGGTGAGCCACACTGACGTATGACATAAAGTTGCTGAAGAAAATAAATAAATGTGCGGCCGAAACGACGAATCGTTTGATTTTGCGTTGATCCTGAAGTCAAAACACATTTCGCACATTTGCACGTACTCGTGATGACTGTTAAATATCTTCTAGCATGCAGAGCTACACCTCAACTAACACACAAACCTGCATTCTTGACATTTTCATTTTTGCAGAATTTGATTTTCTTCTCTTGAACATTTGACTCTGATGTGGAGATGAACTCGCAGAAGTAGCACATTAAGAGATCTTTCCTTTTGCCAAAATCTGCAGAGAACAAAGAAGTAATTGATGGTTTAATCAAGTTCATTTGGATATATGCAGAACATATCAAACCACAGAATACTTGCAACTATTCCTGGTTTGTCTTTGTCTTATCTATGATGTATGATGTATAAATGACCGTTATGATTAAATGTGACTGTGTTACTTGATGAATCTCTTCTGTTTTGGGCACAAAGGCTCTCTGGATCGTTGGCTATAGATTTAATTTGATGTGTTTAGTCATCGGGCTGTTGTGTTAGTGCCAGTTTTGCTGAGACACACACACACACACACACACTTTACTCAAGATTAAGTTAGATTTAAGAGAAAATACTTTTTGTTTCTTAATTAAGGGGCGGTGGTTTGATACAGCAAATATAATTAAACTATATGCATATTACATAAATGAAAGAAAATGTAAATAACAAATAAGTACACAAATGCATAATGACAGAAAAAATATTTTCCATTGTTTTCCATCTATTGATGTCGTAAAATGTCTTATCATTTATTTTAATAACTATTTACAGTTAGAGATGCAACAGTGTTGCATGCTGGGACTATTTTTCTATTAACATTCAAAGTTTCTATTTATTTTCCATCATCTTCCCTCACTGTGTTCAAGTCTGCCTTAAAATAGTTCATCCAAACGGTATTAACTTTTTTAATAAGTTAAGTCAAGGGACAACATTACTTCTTGCTAAAAATATTTGGCTCAACCGGCTGAAGACTCAAATGTAACTTGAGCTGAATAGATTTGTAAACATGAGAAGGACTGTGGATGTTGTCCTCCATCACTTCCATTGAAATCACCATAAGAAAAGAACCCAGGATAATATTTGTTCCGGCATGTGAGTGTTGTTTTTAAAGACGTAAACCTACCCTTACATATTTGTAGGAACACCTGTGATTTACCACCTATGACAAGTGAACATATCTGCTGTGAAAAAAAGGCCTGTTGTTTTAACAAAGCACAGGTGCAATTAATCACACAATGATTGCTGCCTGGATTAGTCATGCGCAACGCGGATTTCCAACCCGGAAGTGACACTTAATTAAATCAATTACACACCTGTGTTGGATGAGTTGGAAATAGATTGTCCTCTCAGTTAATTTTGAGCAAATTTACTTTATTACACGCAAACTAAAATGAGAAATGTGCATAAGCTTAATTATGAAGCAAACAACCAATAAACAAACACGCCCTGTCCGGTTGGTAAATACAATGGTTTAACGCACACTTAATTGGTATTCTCACGTTGAATGCAAACCTAGAGGTGTTAAATGAGTTAACGCGGGTTCCTCCTTCAACGCAACGTGATTTCATGGTAGAAATAAACGGGCATAACGACAGAGATCCTGTTAATGGGAGGAGTGAATCAGGACAGCGAGCACGAAAAACACGTTCCGCAAACCCTCCAATCCAGTCGGCTTTCCTCTGTGCCTGCAGCCCGGAGCTGCTCTCTGCTCTGAGCCAACAACACATTCCTGGTAGCGGTCCCTTCTCTGCGAACCATTTTAGTTGTTTTTAATTTGAGCGGTGAGTCGGAGGAACAAAAGAGTCCAGAGTTGTTGGGGATGGATGCTGCCGAGAGAAGCGCCCTGGTGAGCCGGCTGGAGAGAAGCAGCCACACGGCGTTCATAGAGGACAGGACGCTGTATGTGTGGGGAGGTTACCAGGTAAGAGACCTAGTCGGTATGTAGTTCTACCTGTGCAGGTACGTCTCCAATACCTGTTTCTCCTCTGGGTACTTCATGGGTCTTCTAGTTACCCCAATGCTCTTTTAATGTTATTTTAACATCATGCTGTAATTTACAATTTAGCAATAAAAAACAAATCTAACTTGATGGAATACTGCAAGGGCCCAAAGTGTCAGGGGCCCTTCACCTAAGAATAAAATGACATGAACCAACCAGGAAGAGACTCAAAATGACTACAAAGAGACTCAAAATGACTATGATTAGGGACAAAACTACCACAAAAAGACACAATATTACTATTAAGAGACCAAAACAACTCTAGAGAGACTTAAAGTCACCTCAAAGAGACTCTAAGCCACTACAAACGCACTTACAAAGACACAAGCAACTTTTAATGGTTTGAGGAATGTCTGTGTTTTGATTGTCATAATCCATGCACTGAGTTATGACATGCCAGTTTATTAGGTTTATCTAACTGGTGCAGTTTAAAACAGGCTGTAATAAATCCCCTTTATGATGCCTGATGTTCAAACGGTTTTAGAGATCTTCATTTAAATGTATTGTCACTGACTGAGAGGTGTTTCTCATATTTTGTCCACCTTTTCATTGATAGAAGTGTGGTGGACAAATGAAACATTTCACCTGTAACTGCAGCCTCACACCTGCTTTTTAATGCTGCGTAAATTGAAACGGGAGGATCTATAGCAGGACTGTTTGGTTTGGTGTAACTTATAAACTGAGTTTGTGCGTATAAAGAGAACAAAGTTCACCTGGAAAACACGCAGCGACGCTCTGAAAAGCAACTGGATGGCAGCAGAGCGGAACATGTTTAGACAGAGAAAATATTTCTCGGACCGTATCTTGTTGCTTCCTGATAGTTAAAATATAGGTTCAATATACATCTACAGTTCCACCACACACACGAACAGGAGCCATTATAGTCAGATTTAGATGTTTGTATAATCGGCAGTTTTTAGCCTAAATTCGTGCAGTTTCTGGTGGCTGTTGTTCAGCAGATAAGACTACAACATGTCTTCATACTTTTGTTTTTATCTCCTCTCCCTCACAGGTAGCTGGTGGAGAGGAAATCATGTTGCCCTCTGATGAAATCTGGCTCTGTGATTTGGACAGCGGGATGTGGTGAGACGGGAAGAATGCAGTTAATCGGCTGATAGAAACTCTGTGTCACCCTGACATTGAAGCTAAGGATGTCGGCTCAGAGCCTGTTTGTTTGTTCATTGAAAAAAAGATAAAGGGACATAATGCCAAGACAGTTAAAGGGGGAATCTGTTGAATAAACTAACTTAAAAAGTTCTTGTAGATGGAAACTATGGTTGAGATCACATTCACAGTTTCTTATTTTCTTATTTGTTTTTGTGTGACAGGGAATGGAAGATCATCACCGGGGACGCTCCACCAGCTGGCTTCTGTGGCTCTCATGTTAACGGAGCGCTCTACGTCTTTGCAGGATGCGAACCCGTCGGATACACTAACGAGGTGACTACCACGACCTCGTCGTTTGTAAAAGCTCTCGTGTGTCATCATTACACTGGAGTCGCTGAGCTAAGCATCTTTGTTTTTTTCTGAAAGATGAATACCAGGCGTTCTTCTGCTCCTTAAGGCATTTCCAAAATCGTCAAGGAGTCTCTTATAAGCATCCATATTCTGTCTGCTGCATGATGTTTTTCCTAAGTTCCTAATTTAAAGCTAAGACATTGTGCAACGTGGCAGAATCAAGCCTTTCCATTTGGAAATCTTGCCTGAGCTGCTCCTTGGATAAAAGTGACGGTCGCTTGATTGTTGTGATGCGTTTAACTCTCCCGTTTGTAGATGTTCAGCGTCGACCTCACAGAGCAGAGCTACTCGTGGAAGAAAGTGACCGACACCAAGGGAACGACGCCGTCGCCGCGAAACAAACACTCGTGCTGGGTTCACCGAGACCGGTCAGTCCCGTCTGTAGGAAATCACAGCACACAAACGAGCTGGACCAGCGAAGACAAACTGCTGAAAATGAGCCCCAGCTGAGCTTTCCAGCAGCTGTTCACATCACATCTTCTACATGATTGAAGAGTTGGGCATTTTGTATTTTAAATCACAGCTGAACAGAAGCAAATGTAGCTTTAACACCTCAAAAAGAGATTTAGCTGAGGGGTGGTTTTATGATCTGGTATAAACCAAATCTTGGTGTTTTTTTTTTGAACCACAAATATTTTAATTTAGTTTCACAATGTGAATTAATTCAAATTTTATTTTTTTGGTGCAGATTAATCTTCTTTGGTGGATATGGATGTAAGACGATAGGGGAGGTACGAAACGCATCAACGTCAAACTTCGTCGTGGAAGAGATGTCCTGGGTAAAGAGTAACCAATGTTGTGAACAAAACATGCAGCGATTCCTTTTTATTGTGCTTTTTTGTTTTCTATAAGCAAACTTTAGCTTCCAACTTGTTTGGTATCATATTACACTCTTGTCTTTTTAGACCACAATTGGAAACGCATTATTTCGGTGCTGGGGCTGGAACAATGAAGTCAGTGTTTTTGACACTCTCACGGCGACGTGGAGCACGCCAGAGACTCAGGTGAGTGGAACCACATGATGTCACGTCTAAGACGTTAACGTAAGCGCAGCATGTATTTCAGCTCTTTTCCTGCACTATATTCTACGTTTAGACGACAATATAATGTCTACAGGGTGTGAATAGTTTGTTTTTGGTATGTCCAGGGTTCTGCTCCGGCCCCCAGAGGCTGCCATGCCAGCGCCCTTCTGGGGAACAAAGGTTACATCTCTGGCGGCGTGGTGAGTTGTCTTGACGTGTACAATACAGTGGAAAAACAACACATAGCCACAAATATGTGTGCACACCCTGTGATGTGACAGTGCCCTCAGGCACAAAGGCAGATCTGTAAATAAATGGTTTTAAATAACTTTTTAAGAGAGTTTAATCACAGATGGGTGAACTGTTTGTCTGCATACTTTTGTGCTTGAGTTGTGTTTGACCATGCAGATGTGGAGCAGCCTTTTGACCATGCATACTCCATGGTGTTGTAACTGAACACTGTCAGGACTTTACTCTACTTTTGCAGGAAAAGACCGAGTTGGACATGTTCTGCTTAGACCTGAAGACCTGGACTTGGACTCAATTGTAAATTCTCCTCAGCTCTTTCTCATACACACCAGCAATAGTAACCTTTTTATTATAGGCGGCGGCTCTTTCCAAAAATGTGCTGACGTCTGTTGCGTTCTGCTGCTTTTCCACCAGTGACATCTCCCCGTCCTGTGCACCTCTGGGACGCTCCATGTTCACCATGACGCCCACATCAGATCACACGCTCTTCGTGTACGGAGGTCTCGGCACAGACGGAAGGACTCTCAGTAAGTCTCCGCCATCGATCTTTAATGCTTCTGAATTCAACTCTGAAGGCTCAGTCTCCTCTGCCGCACGGGCGGATTATAGGACAACATGAAGAGACGCCAAACGACCACAAAATAAAGAAACGATGGAATTTTGCGTCTTTTTGGTTTAACTTTCCAATAAGAGATATTCACTCTGGCCTTGGAGCTGTCAAACAAACATTTTATCTGCATTTTATAAATATCTTAAGCCTTTATCTGTCTTGGACAAGTGTGCCCAAGGTTGAAGGACATTTTTATTACATGCAACTCTAAAAACAAAGGACGTCACTGTTGCTCAAGTGGTTTGTTTTCCCAAAATACTGAAAGTGAAGCTCCCTGTGGTTTCATCTGCGTTTCATCATTAACCTCTCTGTGCTAGATGATGCCTGGCAGTTTAACACGCAGACGAGAGAGTGGATCAAGATGGTGAACCCACACAAAGACAAGCCCAGGTAGTTGATTTGTCAGTGTTTTTATCTTCCTGTCAACGTGTAGCTCATCGTGCTTTTTAAAAATCGGTGTGCAGCTGATCTTTTTATTCACCCAAATGTTGGTCTTCCTCAGAGTGTGTCACACGGCGTGCCTGGGAAGTGACGACGATGTTGTTGTGTTCGGGGGAAGCAGCGAGATGTGCTTCCTCATGGACTCGGTATGTATTCCCTTTGGTTTTTAGATCAGCTTCCACTTTCATGGGAAAAGAATAAAAGTAAATAGCAGTGAATTGAAACTGAAAGGTTTATTTGTAGGTCCATTGTGAGGTCTTGGTGAGTAAAATGTTGTGCAGCATAATCTTTTATCCCTTTAGGATTTCCATCAGCAAAACAATGCAGCATTTTGCCTTTTTAAACTCATTCCTTCTGTAACATTGAGTTAACTTATATCATTGTCAAGCAGACCAATCATAGCTCGGTGATTAAGTGTTGCATAAAGAAAGCTTAAGTGATTTAAGGACTCAAAGTTTGAAGAGCACGAATAGTATGGGGTATTATTCCACATGTGATGCCAACAAAAACAGAACTGGAGAGAAAAATGTGTATTTTATTATTTATTTATTTTGTCTATAAGCTGCTGAAAATGTGCAAAATGTTGCCACCTTGTTGAAAAGGTTTTAGTGGCATGGAAATCCCAACATGCATGTTTTACAATCTTAGCTTAGCCTGGTAGCATGCTAACTTGCTAGTGCTTGTTAGCACTACACACACAGGAACAGCTGACACTGATGAGAGCTTGAAGGTATTTGATTATGGACTAAAAGACAAAGTAATTATTGGACCTGTTGATGGAGCTAGACAGATCATCACTTAGGGGATACATGTGCATCCTCTGGGGACAGTGAACATCTGTAGAAAATTTAGTGCAAATCCAGTTAGTTTTTGTTCTAAGTCCACAAAAACTCTTTACCATTTGAATAATTTCCAGTAATTGATCTGTCATCAATCATGTGATTATCAAACCTCTTCACCAGGTGGTCATTCTGAGGGCTCCCTCAGAGAACCACTGCAGAGACATGTTCGTGTTTCAGACTCAGCCGTACTCACTCTTCAGGTACGTTGAACCTCCCACGCTTTTATTTCTGCACTGTCGGCTCTCTGTGCATCGTGTAACGTCGCTTACTTTCCGTTGTTGCTAAGCAGTTTTAACAAAGTCCACAGGGACCCTTTAAAAGCTATTTATACTCTCGCCCTGTTGGACCTGTGTGCAGCTTCACAAACAAGAGGACATGGTGTTGGGCTAATGAGCTTTATATTAGGCAATCATCTGTGGCACATATGTAATGGATTAAAAGACTCACTTGAGATTAAAATGTCCGTAAAGTTGTGATGTGTTCATTTGATTCTCAGAACACTACGTGATATGAAAGTAAATTTTCTAGCCAAAAAATAATGTAAATATGCTTGTGGTGTGGCTGTGATCTGCCATGTAGAGCAGGAAGCTAGTCAGGATTACAGTCTGCCATGCTCTGTCAAGACTCATCTGAACAACCTGTGTTTTATTCTACTTCCTCTCTAGAATGTGTGAAGACTTTATAGGAAGAAACCCAGAGCTGTTTGGGAAGCAGCTGACCTGTCTACCATCAAAGGTGCACAAAAAGATCAACAAGCGAGTCGCCTTTTTCTCCGATATGAAGCCCGTCCTCACACCTTGAAGAGGACTGTTTTTTGTTTTGTTTTTTTGGGTTTTTTTTTTTTTTTGTTTTTTTTTAGAATCTGAGCCAGTCAATTATTACAGAACTGTTTTCATGTTTTTGTGTCAGGAGTGTGTTGGTTTTTTGTTTCAAATGATTTAAAAAAAAAAAAAAACAACTAAACATCCTACAGTTCAATTGTTTTAACTGAAGACATTCATTTGTAAATTAAGCGTTTTGCCTTATTTTAAAAAGCCAGTTTAGATTTGGTAACATTTTACTATATATAGTGATTTAATGATGTGCAATCTGTTTTTGAATAAAAGTTATGTGTTGTATATTACTGTGGTGTTTTATTATTCATTGGTGGTATACAGAGTACTGTAGTACAATTCTGAGGTACTTGAGTATTTCCATTTTCTGCTCATTTGTTTTTCTTCTCTGCTACATTTTAGAGGCAAATATTGTCATTTTTACTCCAATGCATTTAATACTTTGAGTTACTTTACATTTTGTACTGACCTGCAATCAACAAATGATGACGTAATATAATTAAAATAAGACTTTATTGATCGCTCTGTGAAATTCACAAGTACCCAGCAAGTAATTGCCATCTGCAATATTTAAGTGGTGAACAGACTATAATTGGTTCAATAATATACATTGTCTTTCATTATTCTGAAATTAAATATAAACGAGGACTTTACCGTTTTCGGCTTCATTAAAATTGTGACTGTAGGACAGTATTTGTACTCTCTGGTATTACTACTTTTACTTAAGTACTTTTACCACCGATTGTGTCCTCTCCTAAATGAACAATGCAATAAGTCAATTAAGTCTCAAACACTAGAACAAAAACAATGAAGCAAAATGATCATTTCTTTAAATAAACAAGTTGCATATTTCACTTTTAATCAAATCAGACAAAATGATAATTTTGGGTCGAATGGGTTTTAAGATTATTTATAAAGGAACATACTTGAGAAAGATTGGGAGGAAAATAAGTACAAGTGTGAATTATTGTAAGCTGTAGGTTTATTTAACATTTCTTCCGTTTTGTGAATGTTATCCCTCTGATGTCCTCTTACTTCCTCTTTTGTGAGTTTATGTTCCAGACTCTCTTCATATATCTTATTTCCTCATTTAAACAAATTTCAGACTTAAAAAAAAAAGGGAGCAGAACCGGTGTTTTTGTAATTTTTAATTTTAATTTTCAAAAGGTGATTTTGAGTAGAAGCATGACTGTTAATGGTGCCGACAGATTCACGGACCGCCTCGCGTGTCCTCGTCTCACACCGGCCGGACGTAGTTGGCGGGCAGCATGCCCCGCTGCCCCGTGCGCTGGTTGCACCCGAACATCCAGCCTTCGTCTATCTGCTCCACGTCTGACAGCAGGTCGCCTTCCTGCAGAGACACCTCATCTGCTTCTGCTGCCGCGTAGCTGTACACGGCCTGGTAGCGTCTCTGTGGAGGGCAGACACACGGAGAGGGGGACGAATCAACAGAAGCACATAAAGAGAGAATACTGAGTCCAGACCAGTTCAACTGCACTGGATTTCACCACTGAGCCGAATGTATACATACATACTAATGCAACATAAACTGCACAAACACAACTACACCGGCACTCAAACTAGAGCTGCAAAGAGTAATCGATCAGTCAACTATTAAATTAATCGGCAACTATTTTCATAATAAATTTGAGAAAAACTTTAAGAAATAAAGTGTAATTGTCTGATTTCTGGTTTCTTTGCTCCTCTGTGGCAGTATATATATGATCTGATATTGTGACAGCTTCACTGTATGATCAAAAGTATGTGGACACCCACGTCTTCTACTTTTGGGTCGTTACAGCAGCAGATGAACACCCGCTGTGTTGGAATGAGACGTTCATCAAACGCATAAATCAGGTGTCCGCATATAGTTCGTCTGTGTAGTAGCCTTACCTCTCCACTAGGTGGTGCTACAGCAGCAGGGCGCGTTGGTCCGACTGGCTGACTGAATCTCTGAGGGTTGGACGGTTGTTCCTCATAGTCTACACACACACACACACACACACACGTTAATACTGATGTTAAATACTCAGAGGAGTCTCATGAGGGTGTTTCTCACCTTGTCTGTTCTCAGGAGGAGGTGCGTCACTTCGAATCCGGCTCTTCTCAAAGTCTTCGTGGTACTTTATCTGCACACACAGGCAGCGACACACGCGTGTTAAACCTACATCAAATATGACTGTTGAGAGGCAGCTCACCATTTTAGGAGGTGCTGGGAGATGATGAGGGGGGGGGGGGGGGGTCTCTGCTGCAACAGTTTCAGTAGAGGAGAAACCTCCTATTGTCAAAAAGCTGAAGACTTTATGTTTTAAGTTTCAGATTTATTTTATAGAAACAAAAAGATCATTAACTACAAAAAAAAAACATTTTTTCTTTTCTTTACAAATAGGAAAACCTATGTTATATTTCTACAGCAATCTTTATCTTTGAATATAAAATATTTTTGAAGGCTTTGTCTCCTGGTTTACAACAGAAAGAACTCAATAACTGTACAAAAGTGACGGTTCAAAGACTCGAGAAATAGACTTGTTGCATCATCCAGCGAGCCCACCAGAGGAGAGAGACAGACGACAACGTGACACAACATCTTTAAAATTCATCAAATGTTGTTCCAGCTTTTTAGGGGCTGGAAGAGGGAACTGTTGAAGAGGGGGAAAAAAGAGAAGCCCCCCCCATGTGTCCTCAACAGACCTCAGTGGGAGAAAAAACAGAGACAGGATGAGATGAGAAAAGACTGGAGGGAGTGAGGGACTTACAGAAGGAAAAACAAATACAAGAAAGGAGGGAAGAAAGAAGGCAAGAAAGAGAGAAAGGAAGGGAGGAAGGAAGAAAGGAAGAAAGATGGAGGAAGGAAAGAACGAGAAAGAAAGAAAGGGGGAGGGAGGAAGGTTGAAAGGAGGGAAGGAAGGATGACAAAAAAGAAAGAAGGGAGGGATGGAAGGGAGGAAGGAAAGAGAGAAGAAAGAGAGAAAGAAAGGATGGAGGGAGGGAGTGAGGAAGGTAAAAAGGAAGGAAGGAAAGAGAGAGAGAAAGAAAGGACAGAAGGAGGGAAACTCCCAGTGGAAAAATAAGTTACTAGATTTTTCCTTTTTCACATGCAGCTTATCACCCGTCATTCCTTTCTGCACCCAGAACCCTCATGAGACGAAAAAAAGAAAGTGTGTGTGTTTCAGTGTGGTATGTGTGTGTGTGTGTGTGTGTGTGTGTGTGTGAGAGCGCTGCAGAAAGCCGACGTTCCCTCTTGTGTCCACAGCTGAGAGACTTTGACCATATAGGGCAGCTGGACGAGGAGAAATGTCTGAAATGTGTCTGCAGGATCTGAGAGATCCTTCTCTGCAGCCGTCTGCTCTCCTCTGCTCGAGTCTCAGCTTTCTGTAAAGGACTAGTCCACAAATCTACTTCCTGTCACTGGACCGGGTTTCTGTTGTGTCTTTGGGTGAATGGCTCTACTTGCTGCTTGCATGTTCTGGTTGTTTTTAAGTTAATATATAAGTTTCTTCTGAAATTGTGTTTGAGTGGAAAAATAATAGTTTAAAAAAAAGAAGAAAAACATTGTAAACATGAGTTTATGGTCTCAATCTCTAGGTTTAAGTCTTCTTCAATACAGCATGATGTTCATTTAGTAAGTTATGGTCCTGAAGGTATCTCAGAAACTGGGCATGTAAAACCAAACCTATCTGCATGACAAGCTACCACTGCAGGTGGAGAACATGTGTTGTTTTGTGATTTGTTTGATCCGGTCCTTACGTTACTGATCTGGTCTTGCGTCTTCTTCACTCTCTGCATCTCCGGAGTGTCGGCCACCACGCTGAAACCTTTCCCCTTGTTCTTTTCAAAGTCCTCCTTATAGAGCGCCTGTAAATTTGTAATTCATCAGGATTTAGACTGGACCCCCTGAGGAGAACTTCTCAGAACCAAAAAGGGGCTGTGTTCTTCAAAATGACAAAAAGCTAGATTAGACATTCTGCGGTCGCACGCACACTTCGACCAAATGGGATTCACAAATAAACATAAACACACACAAGCTGTGCTTTAAACGGCTATTTGTCAGATTTCCTTGCAAGTTTAGGCGCAGGGGGGGGGTGGGAAACACTTTAAACGACATTAAACAAAGCTGGAATGTTTACTTGAAAGTAAATCTGAGATCCACACACACACACAAGTGAGTCATGTTCTTGCTATGAGGAATATGCGGCCTCAGTATCAGAGCTTGACTGCCGAGACTTTTATGGTTATATGAACTGTGTTGCATGGGACGAGACGAGAGGACAGAGAGAGAAAGAGAGAGAGGAGGAAACAGCTTTTGGTGTCAATTTAATCACCGTGTTTTCAGAACAACCATGTAGCATGTCGACAAAGTAATGTTACATGATAGTTTAGAAGTGTTTCAACCAAAAATGGAACTAGTCTGTGTGGTTACATCAGGTGTTTGTTTTCAGACATCTAGAGCCACGATTTACATCTTGTGTTTTGTTTGGTGCAGAGTTTCAGCAGAGGAAGAAATGCTTCACGAGTGACAAGACAATCCCTAAAGCAAGATTCACACTGTAAAGGAATCTCTTTAATTTGTGCGTGACTTGGAGGACTTAACCCTCTGATCAGGTTAAATGGCTGGCTGGAACAGTATGTGATTAAGATTAGAGATTAAGAGCAGTGAAGGCTGGCAAGGAGGCTGAGTTTAGCCCGGGCCACACACGGGACGTCGAAACAGAAGGAGAGATTTACACGTTATTTACAAGTTTAGATTTTTACATCTTTACGTCAAAGTCAAGTTTGCATGCTGTCATTTTAGTATTCAGACCAAGGGCTCATTTGATTTAATTCTATCTGAATGAAGGAGACAGATAGAGAGAGAGAGGGGGGAAGGTGTACTGAGTCATGACGAAGACAACCAGATGAGGACGAGTATATCTGCCGGAGTGACAGCGATAGCAGAGGCAGAGGATCTGATCTGTGGACGTCTCACCTGGCTGTTCAGCATGCTCTGCTGTTTGAGACGCAGATTCTCGGGCGTGTCGGCCACTATGGTGAAGGAGGTTTTGGGATAATGCCTGAAAGACGGAGAGGAGAATAACAGAAACGTTAGAACGTCTCTGTTCAAGGATTACAATAATTCACACACACAAAGTTATAACTCTAAGAACTGTTGCGTGTGGTGTAAACACTCACATACTGCAGTAAGGTTTCTTCTCAAAGCCTTTGTAGGTCGTCATGCTCAGGGCCATCTTGCAAACCTCGCAGCTGAAACACCCTTTGTGCCAATACTACAGAGAGCAAACAGTTAAAGGGTCAAGCATTCAAAACGATTACTCATTGCTGATTGTTTGGATGTATGCATTTGATATCAGCTGAAACACAAAAAAGGATGTTATTGTAACTTAAAAAGCATTTGTTTATGGTTTATGTCTTTAAAATAATTTCAGAATTGATGATCTTGTAATCATAAAGTAGGCCACTAGGACACTATGATCGAGCAGCATCTAGTGACATCTCTTTTAACTCTCGTTGGCTTCACACAAAGCTAGTTCTCAAGTCATGGAGAAGATTGACGGAAGTATATCTAATGAGCGTGCACGTGACATAGGAAGGGGAGCCAAATCTGACTAGCTTGTTGAATCACATGTTTTCAGATCCACAAAAAACGGATTAATGTTATTTCTCAGTTTGTGGGTTGGTAGACAGTCCAGATATCCACATGTTTGAGCTCAACCACTGAAAATGAGTTTTTCATGATATGTCCCCTTTAATACGCTGATGCAAGGAAAACACACACACACACACACACACACACACACACACACACACACACACACGTATATTTATACGTATACTTAAGTACAAATTTACTTTTTTTTATTTCTTCTACTCTACATTTCAGACGCAAATATTGTTCTTTTCATGCCACTACATGTATTTGATAACATAAGTCACTTTGGAGTGTTCAGATAAATAATACAAAATATAAATTAATTAAAAAAAACGATGATGTTTCATTAACGATTAAGATAAAACTGAAAATTGATCCACTCACAGGCAACCAAGCAGGATATAGTTAAATGAGCTCCACTCGTACCAGCTTCAACATGAAAGTGATGAACACATTAATGCATTAATAATCCAATAATATACATTATTCTGAACTTTTACACAATATCTGTGTAGGCTACTTCTTACTACTGGTGCCTTCTAAAAACATATACAACTTATTATCAGACAGTATTATTAAAGACTAAATCTCTAAAAAAGGAAATTAAAGTGTTATTTGGTTAGAGAATGGAGTTTGACCTTACCTTATCAAGGCAATTTATTTTTTCTGTGGGATAAACTGGTTTATTGCATCTTCCACAGGGCGGATTCATGTTGGTGCAGGAATTCCTCACAAACAAACTCTAATAAAAATAGTTTTAAAAAGGTGTTGAGCAGTAAAGTGCAGGCTGTGGTGAGCAGCTGGGACACAAGTCGTCCTCCTCTTCTTCGCCTGCAGGCATTTCAATTAATATACGGCCGCGAGGAGGAGTCAAGCACGAAGAGCCTTCATGGTGCCTTCAGGGACCGTCGGCTATAGGAAACTTCACTTGTTAAAGGGCTTAAAAAGTTACCAGAATCCCAGTTGTATCAAAAGCTCCATCTTGATACAATGTTTATTGTATCTGATGTGTTTTTACAACTTAAGATAAAACATGCAAAATCAAAAACAGACATCATTGTTGAATTATATTCACCGAAACTACTTACTAGTGATGAAGCCTTGTGAAGCTTTGGGCCCGTAAACAGTGACATCCGGTGGTTTGCAACACTCATAGCAGCACGTCAAGACCAGAGTTTATGGTTGAAAGACAATAGTGACAGAAGAGAAGTTAGCGGAGCGAGTTGTAATCCACGGACGCAGATGTAGTCTGTAGAAATGGTACCAACACTATCTTACCATAATATAAAATGGAGTACGACTCAGACTCGATATGTCGGGGGTATAGCTCAGTGGTAGAGCATTTGACTGCAGATCAAGAGGTCCCCGGTTCAAATCCGGGTGCCCCCTCTTTTTTCTAATTAGTTTCTCTACTTATCACAGACTGTTCTTATGTTACTTGCTAACGTTAATCGGTACACAGCAACATATATTGCCGGTTAACGGCAGATGTACAAACCCGTTACGTATGCACTATTACATCAGTATTTCTCTCTCTCTATATATATATATATATATTTTTTTTTACAATCATTTAAAATATTCTACTATCCACCTGCACTGCTTCCACTTTAAAAGTTTTTCAGATGGCCAATTAGTGTCGTCCATCGAACAGTAAGTGTCATATTTACATAATTAACGTTGTTTCTTTTGTTCGTCATTTAGCGTGGGACTAATTTTGGTGGCCACACTAGCAGGGGTCATTCTAATTAGGACCAATTAGTTTATTAACTCTGGGAGCAACTAACGCCAACAGCTTTGTTAGTTTACTAGCTTCTGAAATGTGCCGAGTGTGTAACAACATCAATGTCTGTTTTAAACACTAAGGAGACAAACGCTGCCTTAGCTTGCTGATAAATAAGATAGCTGAGTTTCTGTAATTAAAGCCACCTTTTTGTTGGCATCTGTGGGACAAAGCGTTCCATGATTTGGGATCAATTTGTGTTGATGTGTTGACTTTCCTGTAGATTTATGGCTCCACCGTGTGGCAGTGCTATGTATTGTTTGTTTATCATCAATACCTTATAATATTCTTATATAAAGTCTATGATCAATCCCTAATAGTGACTGACGTTAGGTCTGGGTGTATCACTTTTTTCCTCTCTCTGTTTTTTTCTTGTATACAATATACTTGTTCAATTATAATGATTATATATAGAGAGATATATGGAGTTTATTTAGTTGTATCCCGTACATATAATCTATTTACTATTTGGATAAAAAAGGCATTATCCAAGTTATTTTTCCCTGTTGTGCTCTCTTGTGCCTCATTTGTTCCATCACTAAACGGTCAACAAAACCACATTTCATTGCATTTAATTAGGCATCATGTATCACTGTATCACAAAATAAGGATATTACAATGCATGTCAGGGCTGTTTGTTTACATGCATTATTTGTATGCGTCATTACCTCACTTGTGCCTGGACATTGAGTTTATTGCATGCAAAAACAATGTAGATTACTTTGTTAGTATCTTTACATCACTTGTAATGAGTGAGAGCTTTTAGACAGTATGTTAACCGATGACAGTGACCATCGTCCTCTCCACATTTGTCTCAGTAACTTTGATATTCCTGCTCTAAATATTGGCCAATGTGGTCTGCACCATTTTATTTTCAACACTCACCACCAGCTTTTATTAGAATACATTTAAACAGAAAGGTTAAAAGAAAAACAGTCATAACGTCACGTCTCTAAAAGTGAATCTCAGCAACTTTTCTCTAGAGAAGTTCAAGATGATCATTATAATCACTATCAGTTACATTGCTAAATATCTGTTATAGTGAATTCCACAGAAATATAACATTTTATGAACCAATCAATGGTCGCGTAGAAGTTTCATGAAACAAAAATAACTCCATAAACAGAATAGATACACATTGTTACTTTGAGCTGTATGTTGGTTTGCAGTATGAAGGCTAGTTCGAGTCATTCCCTGACATCCGCTTGCGTTTTGTTTTGTACAGTTACACATTTGCATCTCATCATTTTTGTCATCGGCTTCCTCTCAGACCCTCCAAGCCGTGTATAAAATGTCAGATCCCCTGTGTGATGGCAAAGAGCAAAAGACAAGGAGAAAGCTGGGAAGAGCTACAAGAGCAGTGACAGTAAACACTGTCCAGCCGCCAAGGTTGGAGTAGAGACACCCAGTGTCAGCCTGATCCTCCATGTTCCTCCACTTGTAATGCCTGTGCAGTCCTCTAGATGGTGTCCTTTTCTTCTTCTCTCCCAGTCCTGCCAGTCCAGGAGTCTTAGGAGCACTGCTCGGCCTCCATGAAGCCTTCCTTTTCGTGACCCCCAAGCTCGACCTCGGCGTAACTGGACTGACAGCCCTGGTTGTGGAACTTCATGGAGGGCCAGTAGTTGTTGGTGCGACGCTACAAACAACAAAAGTACCTGAAGCTGTACAATATTTTCCTTTGAAATGTAGTGAGGTAGAAGTGAAAAGAAATTAAATTACACTTCAAATTAGCGTGTAATGTACTTCCATTCCATCAAACATGAGTGCACGTGTGGGATATATCTTTAAACAGAAGAATGAACTGTTCGCTCGACAGAACCAACGTATGAATATTGTTTTTCTCACCTGCATGAAGTAGAACGGTGGAGCGACTGTGGGGTGTGTGTTGATGTAGTAGACGGCCAGTAAGGTCAACGCTACGAGCAGAACCAGTGCAGCCACTACACCGGCTATGATGGGCATGTTCGCCGGTATCCCGTTCTGGTTCGGTGGACTCGTCTGTATCTCTGAAAGGAAGGAAAACAGAGATTGTTTGTTATCGTTAAAGCAAGTCTGCATGTAGAAGTGAGGTGACCGTAACCTCAGAGGCATTGATGGTACGTATGGTCTGACTGGCTGGGATAGGAGTATGAGCTCTGGTGTTCTTACCAGTGAATGTGACTGTTTTTAAGATGCACTACATTATGTATACAGCACTACACAGCATAGTTTAGTCAAGGGGGGGAGAAAACGTATTGTCTGTGTTGCATTATATGTGTACATAGTAAAACATTTACAAACAGTTTAACAGCAGCACAGTCAGTCAACCAATACATTGACTATTAAAGCTCCAAAACAAGCCTCAGCCAGCTTGTGATAAAATCACTGAGAAGGTTAAAAGGATAATTACGGTTTATTACAACATGGAGCCTATTCATAGTTGTAGCCATTTCCTATAGATAAAAATAAAATTGTATTAAAATAGTTGCTGGGAACATGGGGATCACTATAACGTCTAACATGGCAAAAAATAAGCAGTCAGACAATCAGACGGGTTGGATACTGTCCAACAGTGTAGCCAAATGATCTAAACCGCTTTATTTGGAGGTAAAACTCTCTGAAATAACCCCTCAGTGCGCAAACCTGTGATTTACAACTAAATCAAGTAGGATCGGTCAAAGCTGAACCAGGAAGTAGGTCTATAAACTGTGACGGAAGTTTACAACCTACGGTTTGGGTGATAATTATACTGTTTCTTTGTTTTCTCTCCCGAATAACCTTAGTAACCTGGACATTTCTTTGTTTATTTATTTGACTATTTGTGTTTCTTGCCCCGTCTGAATCTTTTAGCGATGTTATCTCATTCTCACACCTCAGCATTTACCTGGATGAGTACAAAGTGATTATCAGTGTAAGGAATTGTGTCCAAATCTACGGAAATAAGACCAAAGGAATTATTCTTTACTGTAAGTGCAGCGAAAAACATTGCCTTTGAAGATGTTGTTTCGTCTTTAGGCTTTTATAAACTTTGTCAGACCTTGTCTGCTTTCTAAAAAAATTCATATTTTGGTCACATAATTCAATTTTCTGCTTCTTAAGTTCTTATTTTCTAATCTGTATGTCAGTCATTGGATGCCTGTGACTGTGTAAACTCCAGATACAACAACGGTAAAAGTCCAGGGCTTCTGGTTCTGATCATGACAGACTCAGATAAGTGTTGTCTCTGGAGAAAGCTGAATCCAAGTCACACATCTTTGTAAAACAACAGTCCGGTCATTTGGCTTCATCTTTCTCCAGACTTTGAACCAGCAGGATCATTGAGATGAACCTTTACCGACATACCTCACTGTCTGTTTACCCCTCAGAGACGTTTACCTGTAGTGACGGGCTGGTCTTTGGTCCATGCTGAAGAAGGCGTTGGACCTGGAGAGGACAGGTTGAAGGAGCTCATAGATCCCTCAGGTAGTACGGGGTTGTAGTCCTCACATGTGCCTTTTGCCTGAGTGAATGACCACAGGAGTGACTCAAGAACAAATGAACCGGCTGCTCATTTCTCTGTTGTAAAAATCGGTAAAATGAATCTCACCTCTTCAGTACAGTTGTAATCTAACCAGTCTTGTCTATGCCGGTCGATACCGTCAGAACATCTGAAACTCAGAGCAAAAATGAGAAGAGCCAGGCTCTCTGCGGCCTCATCGCAAGATACACCTGTCAGAATCTGACCCTACCGTTGAAGCGTGTTGCACCAGCCACAGTTAGTTGTCAGGTTGGATGCTAGGCAGAGATCACAGGAAGTGTGTTGAAGACAAGCTGGAGGAATCAAATCACAGTGTCCTGGAGTCAGAGAGGTGAATAACGAGGCGAGGCTCTCGTATAAAGGCTGGCTTGTGAGGATACTTACTCGGCAGAGGCGTTAACTCAAAAGAAGATCTGCTAACAATCTTTGTGATGTCAATCTCAACACGGTGATACTCAAAGATGGTACGTTGATTCGCTTCTTCAAGACAAATACAAAATGTTAGTGTGTTTGCAAGATTTTTAAGACATTTTAAAGTCAGTTGTGTTGAATAAAGACTCACCTAAGGAGGGTTGGCGTGCCAGAAAAGCATCAGACAGTCCCACTTTCACGGGATGCTCGGTGGAATTAATTTGCTCCACTGGTATGGGGACCTGAAAAAAAATACCATCAGCGTCTGTTTTAACAGCTGTAACAGTGTACAGATGATGAAGAAAACAGTTGAAATCCACAACTTACATCTCTGTAGTTGAAAACAATGGTTCCATTTCTGCCGAGGACCGCCTGGAAAGTAAAAGGTCCTTCAGCCTCTCGGTCCTTCAGGTGCACTTTGTCCCACTGCACCACAAACAGGTTACCTGAGCAGAGCGGGAGACACAGAGGCTGGTCAGAGAAAAACCAGGAGCTCCCAAACATTACATACTTCATCAAGAGGAGCTCCCACTCACCGTTGTCCGAGTACCTCACTGTTGAGTTTTGGGAGAAGCTGGGGTTGAAGTTGGCCATGAGGGGAGCGATGTACTGTGTGGCAGTCAGCATCCGATGAGTAATGTCACCCATGAAGATGAACCCTAAGGGGCACGTGCAGATGTTAGAAGTTGTGTTGCATATTTGTACTCACAAACTATGTCTGCTTTTTTCAAATGCATGTTTCTTTCTTTTTTTTTTAAACCTAAATGCTTTTTAGGTTCTGATGACCAAAATGTGTTTGTAGCAGAGTATCAAGAACAACATTTAACATCAAGCCAGAATATTTTCCCAGGGTTGGAGGACTAAGTCCTTCAGCACACTGGTAGACGTTCAGTCTCCAGATTGGAAGAGCAAAGTAGACGAGCTCTGCGGTGATATCAAGTAATGTAAAGAGAAAACTCACCACCAGTCGCGATGATAATTTGTCTCAAGGTGTGTCCATAAAAAGGGAAATCAAACGAAAGCGCCACCCTCTGTGGAAAAGAAAACATGTCAGACAAGGCTGGGTGCTAAATCAGACTCTCTGTGTGTGTGTGTGTGTGTGGGTGTGTGTGTGTGTGTGTGTGTGTGTGTGTGTGTGTGTGTGTGTGAGTCTAACCGCTGCCTTCTGGTGTGCATTGGACAGTATGTAGTGGATCTGGAATTGGCTCTGGGTGTTCAGGTCTACCCACTTGTCCTCCGTCCGTCTGTTTGTTGGAGCAAAACTCTGCCATGTGTAGTACTGCTGGGAGTCCTCCTCAGAGAAAAAGGCATTAGAAACAGTTGTCGTAAGACAGTATTCATGCGGAGGTTATTTAAAATGGGTTTAACAGCCATTGACTTGCATCATATAATAACGTCACTATTCCACAATTCATATCGTTTTGCCCAAAAGCTCTTAAATGATAGTTGGTACCAGTTAGGGCTGAACGATGTGAGGAAAATATCAAATCACAAATCATCTTCCCAGTTTTTTTGATTGTGATTCAAAATGAAGTTATTTTCCAAAATTGTACCACACGAGTTTTTAAGTTGCATATTGGAGATATAACATTCAAACTATAATAGAGCTGCTAATTGAATTAATCCATTAGTCGATCAACATCTGCAGATTAATCCATAAAGAAATTCATTTTTAGTTGTAGCCCTAAATTATATTTCATACACATCTCGTCAGAAGAAGTCATTCATAATTGGCCTGAAACAAATGTATATGTGCCACAAAAAAACGCAATTTATTATTTATTCCGGTAAAGAATATGCTCGGGGGATTTTCATCATCCAACAGTCCCCTTGGCCGATGAGTGAAAAAGTTAATTTTGGACACTTCATACAACCAATCAAAAGAGATGTCGTGTGTTGAGGGGTTGTTTGGAAACCACCGCACCAGACATCTGGGATTTATCTCCTCTGTTTCTGCCCAAACAGTTCCAGTTGAGGGAGCTGTGTACACACTGTGCTTTGACTCGGCACAGATCTCCGCTCTTCATGGCATTATTAATGTATGCCACAGTTCAAGGTGACAGAGAGCAATGGTTCTGGGGTTTTGTGCGGGCTCAGAAAGTGGAGCAGTTAAATGCAGCGCTCTCTCTGCCTCTCCGGCTGCTCCACATACAGCAAGTGACCCACTTGTTTTTCCTCCCATCTCCACCACATGTTTGCTAGTGGGGGGGGGGATTTCTAGATGAGGAGAAGTGAACTATCTTATACTTCTCCCTCACAGCTGACTGATTTATTGAAGAGGTTCCCAATTGGCAAGACAAGAGGTGAAGGGTTTTGTAAACTGGGACCAGACCTCCCCCCAAAAAGGCAGCAGCAGCAGCAGCAGTAGTACAACAGGGCTCCATGTGATCTTGTCCAAGTGAGTCATTCACATGCACACGCGCACATACTCGCACTCAAACAAACAACTGTAAGTTGGCAGGACGAGGCTCTCGTCTGTTTTCAATTTGAATTGGAGCAAAAAGGAAATAAAAAAAAAAAGAAAGAAAAAAGGTACGACACAATTTATTTGGGTTGAATTTGACTGAGGCTGATTCAAGTGAAAGAAGAGTCTGTGACATCATACACACTCAAACAAACACACACAGATGCCAAAGGTAATAAGTGGAAATTGGCAGAGGACAGGTTCACCTGACACAATAACATTAACCTCCACTCAAAGCTTCTCTAGTCTAGCAAAGTGTAAATATTATGACCCCACAGTCAGATTAAAGGTTCTACAATGCATGCAAATAACTACATGCTGTTTTCTAATTTGAACCTGATATTAACCAGCAGTTAACAACATTTTTTTCATAAAAATATGCAATTTTAAGAGCTCTTATGTCTGTAAGTCAACTTATAACAACCTGTAGAGCTGTTTTGAAAAGTGTAGCCATTACCAAAGTGCCTTGAACTTGCATTCTTTCTAATGGCCAGCAGTGGGCCAAAAATATGTCTGATTGTATAGAAGTCTATGAGAAAATGACTCTACTTCTCTCTTGATTTATTACCTCAGTAAACATTGTAAATATGGGTTTGTGGTCTCAATCTCTAGTTTAAAGTCGTCTTTAATACAGAATGATGTTCATTCTTTTTTTTTATTATTGTCCGAGCAAAAATGGACTTAGCAAAGGATCAATTATTTGTATCTCACCACGATGTGGGTCATGTTGTCAGGCAGGGTGCTGACATCAAGTCCTCTTCCTCCGGTGTTGCGGGCTTCTCTGTGTTTGTGTGGGGTCTGCTGGTCCCTCCTGGTTCTGTGGGAACTGGACAGATCCACATCCGTCTGCAGAAGAGTCCCACTCAGTGCATCTAGAACAAGACAGGCGTCGAACAGTTAACACACACGAGGGCCACACGCAGACATCCAGGAGGATTTAATCCATGAACGAACAGCTGCCTCTTGAACTCTGCCATGTTTTTCTTCATGCTGTAGTAATTCTTCATCTGTTATTTTAGATTCCAGACTTTTGAGAAAACATGATTGTCGAATTCTGTCCCCGATCCCAAAATGTGTGAAAAGAGCTCTGTAATTATCTGGTCAAATGTCTTTTAAAAGGAACAGGAACTAAATTAAACTCTGCGTTCACATCTGCTCATTATTGTTGCCATGCTTTGGTTTATTAACACAGAAAATATAATTCACGTTTGGAGCAATAACTCACACGGAGACAGAAGAAAACAACAAAACTCAGAAACCCATCTGGTTTCTTTTCTGTCATAAAGACACAGTGCCATGACTTCTTTCTAATTTCTACATTTTGAACGTCATAAAAGTGTGTTTTGGCCGGACCACAGGTGGTAATTAACTAATAGTGAAGCATGATACAGCCTTTATTTGGTACCAGCATTCTTTATTGGTCAATTATTCCTGTGTGTGTTTACGTCTGACCACCTACATTTGTTTGGGTTTCTTGTCATCGGCTCAACGGATCACAGATTGATATTCCTATTTATTTCACATTTGGAACGTTTCTTTCGTTCTTTCTTTAAACTTAAAGTTAAACCGATCCACGACTCGCTGTCCTCTGGACATTTCCAGACAGAGTTGTGAGATCAGCAGAATTCCACGTGAAGGTCTCCGACTGTTTTCCCACCGAAGAAGAAGTTGAAGGTTAAATCCAGCTTGTTGTCTAGATTTGTCTGATCTGAGCAGTTAAGTATAACCGCATGTCTATGAACTTCTTGAGAAAAACAAAGACAAGAGCCAGCCTGAGGTTCAGACCCCCCTCTCAGCCTCTTTCCTTTTAAATGGTGTTTACAACATATGACCAACAGTACAGTATGTGCACACCCCGGGTCCGATCTACATACTTTTTAGTAGTTTTGGTCTGCAGCTGTTCTTTGATTCTTGGCTTAGTCTGTTTGTTCCAATTAACATCGTAACGCTCCGGCATTCATTGATAATTTAGACGATAGTTTGATTCCAGCTGTGTGGCAATAGTTTGGGAAGGCCCTTTCCTGTTGATGACAATCCACAAAGCCAGCTCTATACAGAAATGGTTATCTCAGACTGGTGAGAAAGAACTTAACTGGCCGACCTCACTGATGCTCTGGGAGACAATCCCTGCAGCCAGGTTTCACATCTGGTGGAAAGTCCTCCCAGGAGAGTGGAGTCTGTTGCAGCAGCAGAGTAAAGCCCATTGTTTTGGAATGAGATGTTTAACAATCACTTCAGGGAGAAATGTTTGGGTGACTACAAACCTTTGACCAAAGTTGTCAAAAGTACGTGTTTATTTTTCTCTGTGTGCTTAAGAGAGAGTGTGCTTCTGTGAGATGCCGTTAAAATATTACCGCAACTTATTGGATATTTGGCATTTGGTCTCATTTTGATATTTGTTGGCTGAAGCAGACGATGTGTTAGTAGTTAGTTAGAGTAGTGCAACATTCTGGGAAACATGCTGATTCGCTTTCATGCAGAGAATTAGATGAGAAGTACTATATTAAGTTTGTACGTGAATGTGAAGCTGCAGCCGGTTAGCTTAGCTTAGCATAAAGACTGGAAACGGGGTAAACGGTTTGTCTGGCTCCGTTAAAAGGTAACGAAATCTGCGTACCATCCACCCTAAAGCTCACAGATTAACACATGATGTCCTGTTTGTTTAATCCGTGCAAACATTTGAAGTTCTGGTTTTATGGTTCTTTGCAACACTGTAAGATTTCATCCTCCGAATCGTAATGGTTAAGCTCACTGAAAGCTTTACCTAATTGGGGTGCTCGGATGAATGAAGTGAATTTATTAGATGTGTAAAACACGATGACAAAAAGAGACTTGAGAAACAAAATGGGACAAGAGAAAAGAAACATCGAGAGGTTATCACACACTCAGGGGAGACGGCTCTAATGAGGAATCTCATTTGATTACGGTGCAGAGGAAGCCATTTCCACGTCTTCAGAACAAGAGGCTCCTAATTGGGTCATATTGGCATCACATATCATCATCATCACTAAACAGCTAAGGATGAGGAAGAGGTCTGAGGGGGAGGAAGGCTGGAAGTGGCAGATCAGGGACTATGCATTAGTTATTACAGAATGTACGTCAAGTCCTTTAGAAATGCAGCCAACCTGTATATGATTGTGCATTCATTTTTTCACTTTGCAAATATTGAGCTTCTTTTCCGGGAACATCTCTAACGTTGTTTAACTGTCTGCATGTGGGCCTGGATGGACTTCTAACAACAAAAAATAGGTTGCTTAAGGACTTGAGTTAAGTAACCGCCATAGCATCAGGTCTGGCAGACACATGTGTGTGTGTGTGTGTGTGTGTGTGTGTGTGTGTGTGTGTGTGTGTGGAACCTGCATTGGGAATGTGCAAACTGGAACAGAAGAAAACATTCTGGTGAATTTGAAAGGGGGCCAGAAATCCAACGACTAAAGTGACACATCTTCTGGAGAAGAGCGGGCGGTTTAACGGTAACCATAAACCATGATGCCCCCTCTATTACAATATATAATGCATGGAAATTATTCTGACAGTCCTCCAAATTTAGTCGATTTCAGATTTCCAGCTGTTTAATCCAATATATCTTGCAGCGCCACCTGTGTTGACCTGAGTGAGAATCAAGCCTCTAATCCTGCAGGTTTATTTTGAATTATTAACAGATGTACATCAGCCTCTTTTGAGGCGGTATCCATTACATCTGCACCTGCATTGCAGCAACCACCTTATACATCTAGTGGGTGTCGCATCAAACTAGGCCACATCATTTTGAGCCATATACAGTGTGCTATAGATATACACACTGTGTTCATTCATGCCTTTATCGTCTCCCACGCACCTTTCTCCCGTTCCCCTGATCTCTTGCTCTCTTTGTCTTTTTCCAGAAACCTATAGTAGCTCCGTGGTGTTCTTACATCACTTGTTTTTACATCTTTTGCCAAATTCAAACTATTTATCTATGATTTGTTGATGACAGTCACCAAAGAAACATAATATGTTACATCTTTACTGTTTGAAAAGCAGCTTTTGAAGGCTAGACAGACACTGGACAACACAGACCAGATGAAAACACAAAAGACAAAAGCTTAATGGTCTTTCAATCTGTTCGGCTGGATGAAGTCCAGAGGTGAAAAAAAATAAATGTCCTCTGAAAGGAATCTCTTTCTTGTCAAATGTTCAATACTTTGTAGTGCGAGCACATTGGGGGATACACTGAGAGCACAAAGGCATGCACTTGGTCCTGGACAGGAAAATCTAATTATCTGCAAGCCCAACAAAAGAGAGCAGAAGGCCAACATCTTTGCTCCAGAGACGGATACGCTGAGGAGAGTGAATCATTATGTACCATCCAAACACAGCAGGGGAGACATGATTAAACCTCACGATACGAACAAAGTCTCGAACCCTGTAACCGTGCCGCGTTGTGCGCTGTGTCGGACGAGACGCGGTGTAAGTGTCACCTGTCTTCTGGCAGAAGAACCATCAGTGGAACAGTAATCAAAATGCAACGTCACCGCTGTGCATGCCAATGTGTGTCTTTGCAGTTGATCCGTGTTAGAACCAGGCTAGGGCTTGTGGCGTGGCTGAAAGCCATTTGGCATTTTACGTTCAGAGGAACAAGCAGTAACCATGACACACAAACACTGTCAGCTGGACCGATAAGGACCCGAGAAGAAAAGCGCTCAGATAAATATGGACACACGGATCAAGATCAGAGTTTATAAATTGTTTGATTTACTGTCATGTTGTTCCTTCTTTGTATTGGAACCGACCTTTTGTGTGCAGCTGACATGAAGTTTCAGTTTGTAGATGATATTTGTTCCAGCTGTAGTTCACTGTCTTGATTTATTTTACAGAAAGGAATGTACAGAAACTCCTGATAAATCTATCTGGACAATAATCTGTCGGATTAACATGTGATGTTTTGATAAGGAGGCTCTGTTTACATGATGAGATTATTGGGCTATTTGTGGTCTTTGTTGTATGTTACCGTACTGCAGGAAATACGAGTTGGACTGCGGAGTTACTTATATTCCCTTTTGCTAAAATAATACGACTCTGAAGATATTCTCTTGGTGGCAACTAAGAAAAAGTTGAAGAGAAAATATTGGTGTTATGTCATTTTTAGCTCCTTCCGGTCATTAGTCTGCAGGCTCAGGCCCACCGTGGCTATTCATCACTGCAGCCTGTCAGATTTAGATCAGTTGTCTTGTATAGATGTCATCCAGTTTGAAACCTATTCACATCTGCATCAGACTGAAGCCAAAACGTATCAATGTGGATCAAGTTGTCTTCATGTTATTCTTACCACTTAAAAGGTCACCATGTTGATATCTTACTATCTGTGATTTAAAGGGAGCTGTCCCTAAATTTAAATCAGTATCAAATGACTTGTGCATTTTATGAAGCCTGATGAAACGGTTAAAAGTCAGCGATCTCCTCTACTCTTTTGTTTCATCATGCCGGAGCGGATGATATTATGCATCCATGTTATAAATGATGCCATTAACACTGGTATACTCAGACATGCCGAGTAAGCTCCACTTAGTGAAAAGGGATTTTGGTGACCTGCTGACCTGTTCACACAGCGGGTCATGACACCTGCTGCACTGGGAGGTGTGACCGATTTCCGGGTAACAGAAGACCTGAGTGGGAAAAATAACTTTGAGTAGTGGTGTAGATTTACTCTCCACCACTTCAGTTCAAACTGAAATATCTCAAGTATATTATTTTATAATATATTATCCTAATGACTTTGGTGATCCCTCGACTTTTCTTCTACTGCGCCGCCAGCAGGTTGACATTTGTGGTTTTGAGTGAAACGACTCAATAACTGTTGGAAGGACGGCCATGCCATGTGGTTCAGACATTCATGTTCCCCTCTGGATGGATTGGAATAACCCCTGACTTTCATCCAGCCTGAGCTGTGCTTGTTTACTGTTTAGTGCTGTTGTTACTGTTCCTCAGTGCAGCCTCTCACAGAGCCGCTTGCATGGCTGTAGTTTTTTTGCTCAACTGCCAACATGTGTTTGCACATGAATGACTCAATAAATACATATTACGACAAACATATCCAACATGCAGCAGACGTATGTAGAGGCCTGGTCCCACCAGCATTTATAACGGCAACATTTCATGAAATTCGTGCTGTTGGTCAGTCTTGACTGCTGACCTCCTCTGCTGACCTTTTTCAGAGAGCAGAGACAGACATTTTATGTGAAACCGCTGGACTATGAAGTGGCCCTCGGTCAGAGCCCTGACTCCGGAGTGGACGGTACAAATACATCCCCTTCAATCCAAGTGGTTGGGAGCGCAGCGTAGTCACCACAGCACCGCCAATTTAGCGAAGACCTGCTCTACTTTCTGGTGTGAGCAAGCACTTAGATGAAGTTATGAGGCTGTGGGAAACTGAGCCCAAAATAGAGACACCTGCTGTTCAGGGGTGAGGCTGACAACTTGAACTGGATCCTTGGTGTTAGTGTGTTTTTATTGATAAAGATGAGCATGGACAGACTTCCGGTTGTCTTATGTTAGGGCGGGGATCTGAGTCTCTGGTCTCTCTGCACAGTGTGTCGGCTTGTCCTCTGCAGAGCGAGGCCCCTGATCAGAGGAACTGGGAGCACAGGATAGGCCAGAGAAAGTGGGGCACCGCTGATTGTCGGAGGAGCGGCAGCGGAGGAACGGGGGCTGGCTAAAAATAATGTATCTCCAAGGAGAACAAAAATACATACATGCGCGTACACTCATACAGACACGCACACACACACACACACATAGTGAGGCAGCACACATATGCAGGTGATGCACAGAACAAGCACATTATGTCTGGTCATTAAACATAATTTGAGATGAGATAAAGCAACATAGAAAAGCAAGAAACTTTCCAAATATGTCATCTAGGCTCAGCTGCTGCTCTCATTGACTTTTTCTACTTTCATACTTTTTTTTCATAATTTAAATTACTGGTTAACCTCAAACATTTATCTGCTGAAGTGCAGGGTTTCCGATCACATGATTCCTATTTTTCAAGCAAGTGAGCACCAGATGTCTGGTTTTCAAATTGGAAACACTGGTTCTAATTTGAAACAATGGCATCCCAAGAAAATCCAGACCTTCACACACACACACACACACACACACACACACACACACACACACACACACACAGTCTTTCATGTGCTTCCTGTGACTGACAGAGAGAAATGTCATGGGACCTGTTAGCTTCACACATACACAAATCCACCCATAACAAAAATGGCCCAAAAAACATTTTTTAAAGCCTGCCTGGTGCCAGAGTTAGTGACCAGAATACTGTTCATATAATATTTCTTTTAACCTGAAAATTAGAAGCTGTTTTGACAGTCCGTTCTGAAGACATGCAGACAAAACGGTGTTGATATTAGAAGACATATGAATACCTGAGAATGGGGGGCTTACCTTCATGTACGTGAGCCCAGACTCTCCCCAGCTCAGCCTGGGAGAGACAGATGAGGAGAACGGCACAAAGCCCCATGTCCAGCCAACTCTTCTCCCTCCTTCCCCGACTTGTTATCACTCCTCTCTTCTTCTTCTTCTTCTTTTACCCCCCCCCTCACTTTGCTGAAAGGAACGGGGCGCCTCACTCCTCCACTCCCCTGCCTTTTGGTCGCTGTCTCTTGTCTCTTCGCCTTTGTTCTCCCACACAACTGCTTTTTTCCTAACCTCAGCCAAGGTTTCCTGCTTTTCTCTCCCTCCTCTGTCTCTCTTCTCTGCTTCACGTCCTCGTTTTGCCCTTTAGAGTAACATCTGGCAGAACAGGTCCCTGTCAGGGAAGGAGTTGACAAACAGCTCACGTGTTACAAAGTGAGGTGTTTCCCCTTCTCTCTTTCTTCTGCACAATTTTGTTATTTTTCCTTCTTGAATTAAGTCTTCACTTCCTCCTTTCCGTCCATCTGTCTCTTCTCTTGCGTGCGTCTCTCTCTGTTTCTCTCTCTGACAGAGCTCTGGATTTTTGTACATCCTCCACAAAAGAGGAAAATATTTATGTATTTCTACATTTTTTCATTCCTTCTAAACTCCAAAAAGGGGGTTGGAGTTGGGAGGAGTATGTCTCCCTCATGTGGAAGCACGTTGAACCAAAACAAATGTGACGTTGTTGACATTCTGAGAAATCATTCCCTGTTGTTTGTTTGAAGAAATATTACGTGGATTAATGCAAAATTGTACGTTCATTTGATTTTATTATAGAGGGTCATGTTAAATGTAAAAAAAACACATTTATTCATATAGTTATATAAGTTGTTCTTGTTCAAATACATTAAATAAATAGATTCTGCTTTAATCTGACATGTTTTTCAGGAACCTGGGACATCAGGAGTAAACGTTGCAACTGTGACTGTGATTGTCGTCCGTCGCTGCTCATCAGTAAGTAAGAAGCGGCCTCTTTATTAAGAATCAGAAGCAGGACGGATTTAAAGGTCCAGAACACCGACAGCAAAGAATAAGAGAAACTCGACGCTGCCCAGCAATGTAGAGATATATAATAATAAAATTAATAGCACGAAATGTGGAACCAAAGTTCACAAGCACAAATTCCACCTGGACACCTTGAGCTGTACGCCGCTTGTTGGTGTAGTTGTATTATAAGGCTTGTTTCCCGCCGCCGTACCAAACTGGTACAGAACCATGACTCCTAAACCGGGACTTTAATGTCCTGTTACACCTCTAGTATTAATATTCACACCAAGCATCTATGAAATGTGTTCTGAGCTGAGTATTCTCAGTAGGAGTTAAGCTTATATGCATGTGGACAGGTGGGAGACAGCAGGACGTCCCGTGGTGCTCTGCAGAAAAATTCTTGCACAGCTGTTGAAGAGGATAACAAAAGTGTATCCACGGACTCTCCGTTAAAAAAAAATCTCTGCTTCTGAACCAGTATACACAAAATATTTGAATGGTGCATGCACAGACAATGCATGTGCAAACATGCCCAAAGTATACCAAACAGGTTAGTATCGATGATACTAGCAGGTGTTACAAAAAGACTGGGTTTGGTCTTACTTTTGATCAAGAGGTTTCTTTCTTTCTTTGGCTTCTTTCTTCCTCGTCAGCTGCTCCAGTTTTAGGCCATAAGTTCATCTGACCGACATCTGTGGGAATCTGTTCAGAAGCAGACAAAACATGTTGATTCAAGTATCTTTTCTTCTCTGTATAGTGAATCTGAGTGAAGAAAACTGCCTTTTTAATCAACGAGAAAAACAAATCTTAAAGTCAGTTTAATGCAATAAATCAAACGTAAAAGGAATATCATCTCATCTCCTGATGCTCTGGTTATTGTGGGGCCAAAGGAGTTTACTGTGATGGTGAAAAAAACAAAGCTGCAGTCTTGACAAATGTGATAAATGAGTTAATTTGTGATCAATTGGATCTGTTAAACAATCCAACACATACAGACCAGCCAGTGTGCAGAATGTGTTCTGTCTTGTGACGCCTCAGAAATGCACATAATATTTGTTTCCCTTCGTTTTTAACACACTAACACAACGAGCGAAATAGTTTTGGGGGCACTATTTGTCATTGTCACAAAGTTTTATCTTACATGGTTTTTATTTAAACTGGATTTGTGTTGTCTGTCCACTTGGATTCCCCTCAGAGGCAATAAGAATAGTAATAACGTGTGGCGTTGGGTTGCCTTTCTACAAAAGTCTATTCTGTTACAAGTTTTCGCAATCATAAACGATTCTGAAATTGTGTTGCATCGTGCATCTTCGCTCTAATCTTAAACATGCTCACACAGCAATATTTGTCTCATCACACACTTCGAGGAAACCAGTGGGAAGCAATACACCACCTTGATCTCATGGGGAAGCAGATGTTGACGAAATAGCAGCTGAGATAATTCTTTGCAGTGATTTAAAAAAAAAAAAAGGCTACGAGTCTGGACACAATTTCTCCTTTTATCGTTGGGAGGCCGGAACTAAAACCAGTTTAAGACTATTTTAATTTGTCACTCGTTAGAACAGGTCCCTTATGAAGAAGTTTTTGACAACAACAACAACAGAAGCAAGACATAGCTGATAACCCAGGTTTGCATCGCTGGTTCATCTATAGAATTGTGATGTGATTCTTCGTTGTGTAAAAATAAAGTCAATTGGCATCAGAAATAGGGAGAATACTAATTCCAGGACAGATAAAAGTACCGCTGTGTTTCCCAGTCCCACACGGACCGTGATGAACAGACAAGAAAGTGTGTTCTCCACTCAGATCGTGTGTTCTTGACAGGTTGTTTTCTTTGTTTATAGTGAATTCAAAATCCTAATAATTAGGAATGACCTGATTTGTGATTATTGGACACCAGTGACCCTTGCTCCAGTTTCTCATCCTTCCCTTATTTATTCTATTTGTTTTAAACCTGGCACAAAGAGGACAGAGGGCTGTTTCCCATTAGAGAGGGAGACTTAATCTTCTGTCTTGTTCCAATTGAAAACAGCTTTTCGGGAACATTATTTAAACCTTACCAGAAATGTGGCTCAAACATCTGGCAACAAGTTGGGTTTATTTGCAGTTGTATGTAATGATGAGGTAAGAGTATTCATGTTGCCTATGGACCCAAAACAATGACCACATTTTATTGCCATTCACTTCTCTCCTATGTCAAAATGCGTCTTTAAAGGATTACTGTCACCGTGTTTAAAGTCTAATAAAGGACAGATGTGGGGTCGGTTAGGAATCAGCGAAGCAGGCCCACTGGCACTATTGGGAGCTGACAAGCCATTACGTGTACAGTGGGTTCCCGGTGAATGTTTGGGCTGGGCACACAGTGTCCTCGTCCAATTTAAAATACATCAGATTCAAGACCTTTGTTGTAAAACATCCCTTTACTTTTACCCACTGTTTTCTTCCTAAAACCGTTTTACCATCTTGTTTTCATGAAGCAGCAAAGACCAACTTACAAAGAACCTGACGTTGAACACGTCAATAACTTTACCTGAGTTAACATCCGTCTCACCAACAGTAAAGATAACTCACTTTTAAGACGAGTATGGGAGTCAATGTGAATAAAGTAACCAAGACTAGTAATGCAGTTCTCTGTAAGATACAAGTTTGAAATGTTTTGTTTGTGGAACATTTACTGCATTTTCACCCTCACTTCACTTCACGAGGAGCGATCTTAAACCTGTGACCTGAATGTGGACGGTGTGGAATGTCTGCCCAGTAACAGCGAGAGGCATTTATCGCCTCGTTTAAAATGTGACTTCAATTTAGATTTAAGGAAGTGGAAGTGCATGTTTGAACACTGTGTGCTTGCACTAGGACATTCACATTGCCGGTAAACTCCATCAGGACTGCTTGGCGGCTGGTCGAACAGCTTTAAGAACTGCCTCACACCTTGCTGACGTCAGATTAGAGGTGTCTGTTTTTTGACCATTTCTGTAACTTTCCGAAACCGACGATCCAACATTCACACCTCCTGCATGCTGACAAAGGAGCGAGAAACAACCGATTACGAAATTGTGTTGTATCATGCACATTCACTCTAATATTAAACATGCTCACACAGCGAGATTTGAAGCGTCTCATCACACGCTACAGAGGAAACCAGAGGGAAGCAATACACCACCTCATGTGATCTCATGGGGAAGCAAATGTGGTGCAACGACCCGCTAAAATAATTCTTTGCAGTGATAAAAAAAATAGTCTGGACATGATTTCTCCTTTTCCTGTTGGGGAGGCCGGAACTAAAACCAGTTTAAGACAATTTCAATTTGTCACTCGTGTGTAGTTTAAACAGGCCTCTGATAAAGAGTTTTTTGAAAACAACAGAAGCAAGACATAGCTGATTAACCAAGCTGTGAAAAAATGTGCCAAAATCATTGATTTCTTCTTTCACACGGGGAACGAACAGCGTTCTCCTGGATGAAAAATCCGTGTTTGTTGGACCCATCCGACCGTGGATAAACTGCGAAATTATTTTGTGGGATATCTACGAATTACGAAGCATTATTGTTTTGTAGTTATAGTTTCTAATACTGGTTGAGACCAGCCTGCAGTCTACGACACCCATCTTTTCAATCTCCTTTCGAATAAAGCTGCAATTCGTGTAAGTTTTCTTCCCAGTTGCACACCTCGAGTAATTCTGAAATTTTGAATCTTGAAGAAACAAAACATTAACCTCATTGACCTCTCGTACTCTGAATACACTCTCACTGATTGCCAATCGTCCAGCCAGTCCTGCACTGAACGTGTTTTCTCCACCATTCAGAGCTCCCGGTGGGGGGGGTCGAGGTCCATTACAATGGACAAACGTCACCCTGCCCGGTGTTTTTGTTAGCCTCTAATTGCAAGAGCCACGGCAATGTTGATTGTGGCATTCATTATGAACGTCATTAGCAGAGTCGTTAACACTTGGGGGGCATGTTAAGGAGTTTTTGGAGACAGTTATCTGCTTTTGGCTTTGGGTAAATAACAGAAGGGATATCTTTCTGTAAGTACCAATGTAGAACAAGAATACGTGTTTGGAGGAGCGTGATAAGGAGAGGGAGTTGTAATTCGTGTGCTGCAAGACACAGTGCTGGGAATCTCAGGGGAAAAAAAGATCCAAAACTCCTGTTACTCCTTAGTTAGGGAGGTGAATTTATTTATAAGTGAATGGCTTTACATTTTCAGCTCATAAGTTGCAAAACACAGGAAAAGTATTTTCAGTCTGACTGACGATTAATCTGCAAACATTGAAACTCTCTGTGACTCGGACACGATGAAGTTGACATAAATGCATTTTCCCCCCAATATTTTTAAATTCTTATATTTCTACATCCCTTACAGCACCACTAAGAGCTCAACACACATGAACCAGAATCCGTCGTTCACATAATCACAATCCAAAACCTATTTACATATTGCTAATTGACCCAGTTGCCGCTATTGTGCCTACTGATTGACCGCCAATTACGTCATTAGTCTGTGTTAGCT